CGCCAAATAGATAATAGGAAAACGACAAGAGGTTACAACAGTGAGTGCATATCCAGCATTAAGTTGATCAATGAGGTTTGGCAGATTAAGTTCAACCGCCAGCTAACCGTAACCGAAGTCCGCCTAACAAGTGGCCTGAGATCTAACAGTTAGTGGATTGACTGAATGAGTTGATTAGTGAATGAATGGATGAATTATTTATTAGCAGATGCATGAATGATGAATGCGCTGAAAGAATGAATGAATGTGTGAGTGAATGTGTAAATGAATGAATGAATGTGTAAATGAACGAATGAATGTGTAAATGAATGAATGAATGAATGAATGAATGAATCATCAGTTAACTTTTATCGAAGTTACTGTTTCTCGCTGGGTGAGACCTATCAGTTATGAGGATGAATTAGTGAATGAGTAAACGAACAAACGAGTAAATGAATGAATGAATGATTGATAGAATGAAAGAGTGAATGATTGAATGAATGAAACCAAAAAAGAACAAAATAACTACTCTATCACAGGCATAAAATCTCTAAGAAATTTTGACATATTCGTGTCAAAGGCGCCATACTCATCGAAATCCCCGCCATTTTTGTACAAACTCTGTGCTAAAAATAGACAGGATTTTCCGCCCGGAAATACCAGAAGTTTCAAATGCCTGGACGAAAATAGCCTAGTCGGGAATTACCTGATTATAAAGGGGTTAAGTGGGATTTTCCGGAGGTATGATATTGTGAAGGTGGAGGTCTTTGCACTGGAGTCTTATGAAAAGATTACAGGTATTTTCATGCAATTATGACGGTTATAGTAATAGTTTTGTAATAGTAGAAGTAGTAGTAGTAGTTGTTGTAGTAGTAGTGGCAGTAGTAGTAATGACGGAAGATGATGATGATAATAATATTAATAATCATAATGATAATCATATTTTTCCATTAGCTATTCTTGTAGACGAAAAGGAATGGTTACTATATGGAACAAAAAGTTTGTGCTGGTGATGATGATGAAGATGATGATGATGATGGTGGTGGTGATGATAATGATGATGAAGATGATGGTGGTGGTGATGATGATGATGGTGATGATGATGATGGTGATGATTTTTTTACTCAACAGTTTATGACGAAACTGAAAGAAACCATTACGAGCAAGACCTGGATGTAATCTTGAGAGGAAAAGGTAGATGAATGAATGAATGAACGAACGAACGAATGAATGAATGAATGAATGAATGAATGAATGAATGAATGAATGAATGAATGAATGAATGAATGAATGAATGAACAAATGACTCGATGAGGAGTGATAACAATTTATTCATTGTTGATAAAATTTTATGACAAATTTTAGAAAAAGAAAAACCGATCATGGTGCCGAAAGTTAAAAAACCATGCAAGCATAAGCACCGACATAAAAGTATTCATTCATTCATTTTATCACTTTATTCATTCATTCATTCATTCATTCACTCGTAACAGAAGACGTAGATAGTGACGATAATAACGGAGGACACCATTTTATTCCAGGTAAGCATTTTCATATTCATTCATTCGTTCGTGCTTTTACTCGTTCTTTCCATCACCGATTGATTGATTGATTTATTTATTAAATGAATGAATGATTGAACAAATGAATAATCGAAAAAATGATTGAGTGAATATCAATTTTTAAACATTTTTAACTTTCAATTACAGATAAAGTGTACCGAGGTGAACTGTTGCATCCAGTTGTTTTAAATATATAATTCGTTTTTCATTCATCCGTTCATCCATAATTCAGTTGTCTATTAGTTCATTCATTTTTTTATCCATTCGTTCATTCATTCGTTCGTTCATTCATTCATTCACGCACTAATTCATTCATCGTAATCAGCACCAAAACCAGCAAAACCTGTTGGGAAGAATAAGAAAGACCTGAGAGATATCTGCGAATGTAAGGAATGAATGGATGAATGAATGGGTGAATGAATGGATGAATGAACGAATGATTGAATGAAAAAATAAATTAATAAATGAATGAATGAGTGAATTAAACAAAAAAAAATTTTTCACTACAGTTGTACATCCGTTCAAGAGACACGGTATGAATATTTAAATATCATCACCGTACATTACAACCTGATCATTCGTTCAATCATTAATTCATTATTTCACTCCTCATTTGTTCATTCATTCATTCACTCATTCATTCATTCATTCATTCATTCATTCATTCATTCATTCACAAAGTTACAAGATTGAGACCCACTAGTCACCAAAACTCTCCTACTATGACGAACGGCGACGGTTTAGGAGACGGTTAAAACGAAAATAAATTATATGATTTAATTATAACTATAATAATAACAACAATAAATAATAATTATAATTTAATAATTATAATATAAAGAGCTGTGTCCTACCGGAAGAGAACACATTTAGAATGTTGATACGGTCTTACGTGTTTGTTTTGTGGCATGTTCATGTGACTTTTATGTTTTGTAACATAATGATGACGATGATGAGGAAGAAGATGATGATGACGATGATAAGGAAGAAGAAGATGATGATGACGATGGTCATGGATAATATAATTATAAAATTATGAAGATGATAATAAATAATATAATTATCTTCTCACAGATTTCAACGACAAACCTGGCCGCGGGATCATGATTGGAGGTCAATGTCGCTGTATGATTTGAGAACCGATTATGATTAATAATAAAAAATTAAATAGTTTAAATAATTATAACTAATTAAAGAAACTCATAATGATGTAAATTATGAATTAAATTATAGTTATAATTATAGTAGATGTAGTTGTAGCGGTAGTAATAAAAGTTGCTTGCGTGTATTGTTTTATATGTATGAGTTTTGTGTATGTGCGGTTCAGAGTTTGGCTAGATTATTAGGAATGTTTTTTTTTATGACGGGGTATAACGTCACCGATAATGAATGAATGAAGGAATGACTGACGGAATGACAGAATGAATGAATGAATGAATGAATGAATGAATGAATGAATGAATGAATGAATGAATGAATGAATGAATGAATGAATGAATGAATGAATGAGTGGAAGATTGAATGAATAAACTAAGGATTGAACAGATGAGTGAGTGGGTGAATGAATGAATAGATGAATGAATGAATGGCCAAGTTTAGAAAATTAATTAGTAGCGTTTGAAGTAGGAGAAACTTCAGACAAATTAAAAAGTTGAAAGCCAATTACTAATAACGAATACGGTTATTAAGATAAATAAAAAAATTGAGTGACTGAATGAAATGATGGAAAAATAAATGAATGAACAAACAAATGAACGAACGAATAAAGGGATGAAAGAATGACCATTAAATAATTTTTATTGATATTTTTCAGGTCAGCCAGACTACCGACATCCAAAGAGACACGGAGACCACTACCACGGCCAAAATGGAGATATAATATATGGTTTATAACCTACCTTCAATGAATTCAACCAACTTCAGCTTTCACTTTCAACTGTTTTGAATTAATTTTGATACAAACTTGATTAAACAGCTTTACCAATATTACACATCTTTCTAGTCATTCAATCTTTAAAAAAATGCATTTTTTCCATTCTTCACTATAAGGTTACATGCCAAAGAAGACGCATAAACAAGGGGATAATGATTACTTCGGTCCGAAACATTTTGGACCCTATCGGCGACAGGGGCCCTATGAACCACAGGGGCCCTATGGACCACGGGGCTCTGGTCACTTTGGTCTTTATGATAACGATAGTGGTGATACTGATAATAGTAATGATAATAATTATGATAGTAGTAATGAGAATGACAACGATGACGATAATGATGATAATTCTTCCAAAAATCAACCTCACATTTACGCAGACCACGGCAACCCACACGTCCACTTTGGATCCAATGATAACAATGGGCACAGTGGCTTTGGTCCCAATGGCAAAAAAATCTGGCCTGGTTATTTCGGGCCCAGCGATAAGAACACTGACCAAACGTTATTCAACTATGATGGCCATTTCAAGTTCGGTCCATCGAACAAGCAGGATAATTTGCCAAAAATTATAAGATACAAAAGATTCGTCCCTAAAAATTATGACGCCGATAAACATCGTATAAATGTTGACTACGCCAGCCCGCAGGTAAAATTTACTGTTGACAAAAATAACTACCATAACTATTTTGACACTGATTCAGGCGGCCCTCACGGTGTGGGTCCGGGAACTTTTGGATTCGGTCCTAACAAATTTGGCTCTGGCTACTACGGTCCTTCAAGCAACGGTAAAAAAATATCAGGGAGTGTTGACACGGGTGATCACGATGATAATGAAAATGACAGTTCTAAAATAGACGCTTACAAACGTGGTGCGGTTGGCGCGGGTCGGCCCAGGTACGGGTTCTCAAAGATGAAGGGCTACCTCCGAGATGTACTGATTCGCAACAAACATTCTATTAACGACAAACAGCTTATCTGCCCTGTTCACGGTGTTCATCATCCAAACTCTGAACACAACAACGGCCCTAACATGTTTGGCCCGGGCATGTTTGGTACTGAAAAGTTTGGACCTGGACGATATGGTCCAGGGTTATTTGGTTTTAACAAGTTTGGCCCAGGTGATGTCAATAAGATTAAAAAGAAACATGCTCCTTATGAATATGTAATTTACAACAACGATGATAACGACGGTATTTCTAATTTTGGCCCAAAATATTACGGCACTCCCAACATGTTTGGTCCCAATAAATATGGCCCTGGAATGTTCGGCCCGGGATTGTTTGGCTCCAACAAGTTTGGTCCCGGTGGCTTTGGTGATGATAACAAAAAATCCGTCCTTTTTGATTACAACGATAATGACGACGACGACGATGATGATGACAATAATAATGATAATGGTGACAATGATGACAATGTAGATTTTTCAAATCGAGGTCCAAAATATTATGGCCCATTTAGATACGGCTTTCCAAAAATAAATGATTATCTGCAAAGTAAATATCCACGCGCAGACAAAAGAGCTGGTGGCAGCAACCATCCCGACTGCTCTCATCACGTCAACACTAATTTAAAATTTGAAGGCGGTGATGATTTTGATTTGTTGGGTTTAGGCGATTTTGGTCCTAAAAAAGTCAAGCCGTATAAGACTGGCCCTAAAGATTTTGGTCCCTGGAAATATGGCCCTGCAGAGTATAAGCCTTGGAAGTATGGTCCTGGAAGGTATGGTCCAGGGAAGTATGGATCTGGGATGTATGGTCCTGGAAAGTATGGTCCTGGGATTTATGGTCCTGGGATGTATGGTCCTGGAATGTATGGTCCTGGAATGTATGGTACTGGGAAGTATGGATCTGGTATGTACGGCCCCAATAAATTTGGATTGTTCGGTAAACAGACACCGGTCTTCATCGACACGGTAGGTAACGATGACAATAATTATAACAATAATAACCATAACGATGATGATGATGGTGGTAGTAACGGTCCAAAATATTTCGGACCTTTCCTGCACGGCTTTCCAAAAATGAGGGATTATCTGGGAAACAAATTATTCAATAAAAAATTTGATGCCAACAAGCAGCATGACTGCGCAGATCATGATGGTACCAGCTCCAACTTTGGTCCCCATAACAACAAGTTCGGCCCCGGATTGATTGGACCCAGTCATTTCGGCCCTGGATTGTTTGGTCCCAATAAATTTGGCCCCTGGTTGTACAAACCTGGAAACAATAAAAACAATTTTGGATCAGCTGATAACGATAATGATGATGGAATAAGCGGTGATGTTGATAGTGATGATGGAATGAGTGGTGATAATGATGACGATGATGGAACAAGTGGTGATAATGATGACGACGAAGAAGACGACGACCAAACTGATGGTGGCAAAGATGATGATGGTGATGACGACGACAACAACGATGAGGATGAAGATAGAGATAGAGGAAATGATAATTTTGGAAATGGCATTTTTAAAAGTTATTATAATTTGAACTGAACATTTTTTGTTGTCTATAGAAATAAACCAACTTTTTCAAATTTTGTTCAAGCCAAGCAAATAAAATAACTAATGGACTTTCTATTTTAACGCTTTTCAATATTCAAATAAAAAAATTAGCGATTTAACCTTCAAATTTGCACAATATTTATAACAATAATAATTATTATTATATATAATAATTATTATAATAATAATATTAAATAATAACAAATGAATCGAATTAAATTTAAACACAAGACCCGTACAAAAACAAATTCTTGATCCTCAACAAGCACGGAGACCACTGGCATAATGATGACGACGACGATGTTTTCTCTGGTTCGTTGTGTAGAATTGTGGTTAATTCATGCACACGCACGTACACACGCACACACATCTGTAATTATAATCTTTTTATATGTTATAATAAAATATAATTATTCTATAATTTTAAGTCTCTTCGCCAGGAGATAACGGACAAAAGGATTCGGACGTTTGTATATGTTAGTGACGTCTATTTGACTTTTTTAACTATTTTCTCTTAATTTTACTTTTTAAATTACCTAATTTGTGTTTGTTATTTATCAACTACTAACCTAAACGAACATTTATTAAAATAATATTTATTATATAAAATTTAGCAAATCGATTTTTTTTATTTCGATCGCCTCCCCCAGATCACAACCCACTCTTCAAAACTGGAAATAGCGGACAGAATACATTCGGATCAGGATTTCCAAACAGAAAAGTCGTAACCGCTTACCCGTTTGGTCGGAATTTCAACCAGCCATCTTTGAATAAAGTCGGTTTCGATAAAAATTTCGGTAAATTCGGTCTGCTTCCGAATGGCGGAGTTCTAGGACCTTGGAAATACGGATTTCCGGATTCTAAAAAAACACAAAAAAGATTTAGGAGAGATGTGAATGGTGTTAACAACGGGCCGAATTTTAATTTGTATGGCGATAAGTTCGGCTACAACGACGATGATGACGGCTTCAATCAAAATTACTTCAAAAGTACGTAGTAATGAAGATCGACATTTTACTACCTATAATCGACTGCTCTCTTCAATCTTCATAATATGCAATCGATCTGCGAGAATCACTCTGTTTTCGAAACCGGTTACTGTGATAACATATGACTTCAAGCTTCATCATGACGCCAATACCCTATAATTTGTATTTAATTCTTGAATACTCAATAATTCATTCATATTTTCTATAGAATCTCCTAAGACTACGTTGCATTTGAGACTGCATGGAGACCACTTCCACGACCAAGATGGTCGCATAGTCCTAGGTTTGCTACTTTTATTTTTTCTAAATAATCTCTAAAAAATTTTAAATCTTTCAGTGAATTAATTTTATTTATTAAGTGACTGAATTATCTTTATGAGTATTTTTAATTGATTGTAGTGAACGGAGCTGGTGGTTCTGGAAACGGCAGGAAAGTCTGCCCATGTAAGAGTTTCATTTTTTCATAAGATTTGAAATTGTTTCTAAATGATTAACACGTTTCTTATGAGTAAATTAATTTAATTTTTTTTTAAATTATAACGGCAGCTCAATTTTTTATAACTCGCCAAAATTAGATACCTGATACATTCACAGATAAAAATCCTTCCTTTAAACTCGCCAAAAGTGCCAAATCACAAAAACTTTCCTTCCCGAGGTACCCGGTAAAATTTGACGACGTTAATTTGGGTTTCGGAGTTGGAGGGCCGGGCAAAAATTGGTACTCATCCGGTTTTGGTCCTCTACCAGAGTTTGGTAACGGCGGACGTAAGCCAAGATTTGGATTGAAAGGAGGCTATCCGCCATTTGGTACTTACAAATTACTTCCTGGCTACGGAAAATATTTTAACCTGCAGCAATCTGGACCAAATAAATTTAATAAAAACATGTTTGGTGCCGATCAAGTTGGCCGTGGTTACGGGTTGGGATTGGATGTGAGTGGAGATTCATCTTTGGTATTTGATGCGAATGATTATTTCAAAAGACTTGGACCAAAATATTATACAAAAAAAGTTCGGGTTGCCAGACAAACAACACCCAAGTTAGACTTCAGCGATTATTTGAAGTTTCTTATGTCCAAGAATCACCAGAAGCAAGCGAAACCAAACATTGGTGACGTCAACCAGTACTCACGAAGGAAATATCCTTCATACAAGTATATGAACAACGTTGGTTTGAAACCGTATGGCCCTGGTAATTTAGGCCCTGGACAATACGGCCCAAGCCAATTCGGCCCAAGTAAGTTTGGTCAAGGTCAGTTCCTCCCAAATAATTTTGATCCAGGAAAACACATATTTTACGGTCCTGCTAAATTTGGCCATGGCAAACTCAGTCCCGGTCCTTTTCACAAAGAAAAATATGGACAAGGTTTGAATAATTTTGGAATTAATAGATTTGGTCCGGTACCGATTGAATCAAAGAATCATGGATCAGTCCAACAAGGCCCATCAATGAGCAAGTTTCCTTCCAGCTGGTACAATCAGTTCGTACCAGGAAAACACCAACCTTTTAAAAAGTTTTCCTTTAAACCGCATGTAACAAAACCATTCAGCCCGGGAAAGTTTGGCGGAAGTCATTTTGGTGGGAATGAACTGGGCATGAATCAGTACAGTCATAAAAAATTTGGCTCAGATTATTTTGGTCTTGGTAAATCATTCGTTAACCAATACAAGTCAGAAAGCTTGGGAGCAGATAAATTTGGTATGAAATTTTTCGGCAAACTAAATCCTAATAAGTATGAATCTGATAACTTCGGACCAATTCAAACCGGACCAAATGTTCTTGGAGGCGGCAAATTCAATTTGAAAAATTTTGGATTAGGTAGATACGGTCCAGGAAATTACGCTCCTTTGAAATTACCATCTTATGATGTTGGTTTCAATACAAATAAAGTTGACCTATATAAATTAGGTCTCTTAGGTAAGCGAAATGCTGGTTCATTCCCATACAAACGCGGGCCAGGCAAGTTCGTTTCTACTAAATTTGGTCAAGGAGGCTTTGGATTTGGTAATATGGGCCCTGGAACGGTAGGTCCTAAATCATTAGGACCATATTTTTACGGGACAGGCCTGATTAAACCAAGTTAGCGATACAACAATCTTTGTTTGTCATATTAATTTGTTGAATTTAAAAAATAATTGTATTGTTATTCAATATCATCTTTGACATCTTCCGTCTTCTCATCATCTTCGTCGTTGCCATCATCGTCCTCATCATTTTCATTTCATCGACACGCAGTTATAAAGCCATCAGTAACCGTAGCGACATATAATGACGACGAAGATAATAATTATGACGTCACTGAAGATGACGTAGTTGATGGTGATTACGGTGTTTCTTCTCTGGTTGGTAATGATGATGCATCTAAAGTCGGTTTCCATGGCGATGACAAAATGTTTTTTGGTAAGTAAGACATGATGAAGATGATGAGGATGATTATTTCAGTATATAAAATACAGAGCAATAATAATAAGTGCTATCAAATAGCGCTATATAATTTTTAAAAATATTTTTTCTCAACATTTTTTTTAGGATCATCAACTGACGACACCGCCTACAGTAAACTTCCAAAACTGTGGCTCGGAGCTCAACAGCAACTAACAACAATTGCCGCTCCTGATGACGATTACGAGGATGATGATGATGATGATAATGATGGTGATGATGGCGAAGATGGTGGTGATGATGATGGAATAGGAGTTATTTCCGGTGGTGATGAAGATGATGACGACGACGATAATAATCTCGACGGAATGAATGGAAGGATGCAAGCGCTTCTACGGAAACTTAACATCGGTATGTAATTACATTCGTAATAAAATTTTATAATTTATAATTATAATAATTACATTTATAATTATAATCTATTATTATAGTAACCATAATTAACATTTATAATTTGAAATATTATCATTCATTTTATGCATTTTTGTCAAGTTGACGAGAATGGCGAGGTATGTATACAGCGTTATGTGGCTGAGATGCTGAAAAATAGCGTCCAATCCTTCTGGTCACTGATGAAATTTGTCTGAAAATAAATTTAATTTAACCGAAAAACATTAAAAATTATTATATATATATAATTATTTATTTATTCTGACAATAATTATAATTGTTATAATTAAGATATTATGACGTTGAAATCGCCCATTAGAATTTTGATCAAGCAATAAAATGTCTACGACTTCAATCTCTGTCTTTTTGTAAGAATTAAAAAAATTCTCATATTAAAATGACGTCACGATAGAAAATACCAAAAAATATGAATAAACGGGTGTAAACGAACAATCAGTTAGCAAATAAACAAACTAAAACTTAACTTTAAATAAAACAAAGATCAAATTTCATTAAAAATGGCTAAGTTAATTATTTAAAAAAATAAATTATGTTATAATAATAATAATATTAAATTATTTGTAATTACAATAATTATGGAAATTGTTATGAAATCACTCTTATGGTCAATTTTCTCTATTTCTCTCTCTCTCTCTCTCTCTCTCTCTTTCTCTCTCTTTCTCTCTCTCTCTTTCTCTCTCTCTCTCTTTCTCTCTCTCTCTCTTATTCTCACTCCCATTTATTATTGTTGTTATACATTCAATAGCATTTATACTTAACTATGTATGAAGATTTTACAAAGCAAAAAAACCCGCTTGGGTTTAATGGGAAACATATTTCATCTACCTACGGATATCAAATTAACGGTCGGCTGCCTTTTATTTTGATTGTGCTTAATTTTTGATTTTGAGAAGGAAAGATAGAAGAGAAAGAAAGAGAGAGAGAGATTGTATCTTGTGTTTTTGTGTACGTGTTGGTGTATGAACTTTTTGCTAGACAGCCTTCAAAGAATGGTCTGCCAGTAGCTAACTTCACGCTTGACTGACTATTATTAATCAGCTGTAACAATGAAAATTCACTAATTTAGAAGTAAACACTTTTTAAAATATTATTTAAAACATTATCCAGACTTTGACGTTTGCTTTAAGGAGAATGATCAAGTAGATTTATAAAATACACATTCGCCTAACAACCGCTTGGAGAATGTCCGCCAGGTTAAATTGGACAAAAAAGAACTCGGAACTCGGAACATCTCCTGCCACTCAATTTCAAAACCTCCAGCCTCGAGATGGGATTGGCTGGTTAACTCGTATAACTCGAACCACGAAATTTTTCACAAGACTTTCGAGAAAATTGTTTATTTCCTTAACAGCGGTTTCTACAGTGTGACTTGTAAGGCGTTAAACAAACTTGGTGGCTCTGTTGAGAGCTTCTGAGTGGCTAGTAACGCTGTTACTGTACATGAAGGTGTGTGTTTGTGTGTGTTTGTTACTACTACTACTACTACTACTACTACTACTACTACTACTACTACTACTACTACTACTACTACCACTACTACTACTACCTACTACCTACTACTACTACTACTACTACTACTATTAATACTGCCACCACTACTACAACTACTATAATTAATACTTGTACTACCGTCTTATCACAAAATATCCACTGAGTTGAACGTAGGAATTGAACTAGACAACAGTCACGATAGAAGCATTGAATTAATTTTTTGTAACTTGATATAATTTACTAATTATGTCTATTGTTATAATTGTTATTATTGTTATTATTGTTATTGTTATTATTATTATTATTATTATTATTATTATTATTATTATTATTATTATTATTATTGGAAAAAGGAGATTCTTCTTGCAAGCTTGCTTACATGGTGTCGTCTTTTCAGTTGGCAGTTTTGTTGGCCATCGGTTGTTCAGTTCCTACTGAATTTAAGAAGGTTTCTTTGGAATAATTATTAAAATAATAATTAATAATAATTAATAATTATTATTATTATTATACTGGGTTATACTTTGTAATTAATTATGTAGGATAATAATTGACTGTAATTTTCGAAAGAAAAAAGATGAAAGAGAAAAAAAGATGAAAGAGAAAAAGAGGTAGAAGGTGACCAAAACTATTGTAGACGCTAACACGCCGAACCCCAGTTCAAACGCATCTTCAAAACTATCAATGCCACGAATGAGATAAACAGCATTAAAAAATGATATTACGACGATAATTATTTTTATTACTATTGCAATAGTTTTTAATAAAACATCGTCATTATAGTTATGTTTATATGTTTGTTTGTCTACTGTCTGTCTGTCTCTATGTATGTATGTATGTTTGTATGTATGTATGTATGTGTGTATGTATGTATGTATGTATATATGAATGAATGAATGAATGAATGAATGAATGTATGTATGTATGAATGAATGTATGTATGTATGTATGTATGAATGAATGTATGTATGTATGAATGAATGAATGTATGTATGTATGTATGTATGTATGTATGTATGTATGTATGTATGTATGTATGCATGCATGTATGTATGTATGTATGTATGTATGTATGTATGTATGTATGTATGTATGTATGTATGTATGTATGTATGTATGTATGTATGTATGTATGTATGTAAGTATGTATGTATGTATGTATGTATGTATGTATGTATGTATGTATGTATGTATGTATGTATGTATGTATGTATGTATGTATGTGTTGATAATAATATTAGCATTAATAAGGAACATAAATTTTCTTGCTTTGCGCAATTTTTCATATGATGCTATTGTCTAGCTATGGTTCTCTTACCACCAATCTCTCTCTCTCTCTCTCTCTCTCTCTCTCTCTTTCTCTCTTCTTTCTCTACTCTCTTTTTCTATCTTTCTTCTTTCTCCACTCTTTCTCTCTCTCTCACTCTTTCTCTCCCTTTGTGTCATTTATAACTTGACTGTCGCCTTCGTGCTAGTGTCTTTTCGAAATTTTCGTTTTGAACAACAAATCCCTCTAATCGGTAAATGCATTCTTTAATCATAATTCTATTTGTAGTTAATCGAAATAAATTATTTTTCGTAACAAATAAACAAGTAAATAAATAAATAAATAAATAAATATAGTTATAACCATAATTTATGATAATTTAACTAATAGGTCAATCAATTAATTAATTTATTTATTAAATAAATAACACGAAAAGTGAGTTTTCACCAATTTTTTCTGTTTAATTGAGAGTAATAATTAAAATAATAACAATTAAATAATAATAATATTATTATATAATTATGATGAATTATACTATGATCTACGACTCCATTTAAATTATTCTAATTAAGCTCTTTTGAGGCAATGTTTTAAGCGCGTGAAATGTTTCCTTTAGAAATATTTTGAAAAGAAAACAACAACAATATCAACAACAACATCAACAACAACAACAACATCAACAACAACATCAACAACAACAACTTCAACAACAACAACATCAACAACAACATCAACAACAACAACATCAACAACAACAACAGGATGCGATACAAAAACACCAACAACCAAACTCCTAACGAAAACAACCATATCACTTCAACTCTAAATACTACTTCAAGTAAATCTACCAGTACTTATGACCAGTGCACGAGTACTAATGCAAAGGTCAGAAGTACTGATAATCAGGTCACTAGTACTGATAATCGGGTCAGAAGTACAAAGGGCAAGTTTAGTAGCATTATAAATAACTTTGCGACTGGTCTGTCTAGTAGCCAAATCAAAATAAATTCGATCGGCCAGACGAAAAATGATGTGATGAGACAGAATAGGGCGGTAGTTACTGGCCAAGGCCAATCCGACACAAATTTGAAAATTCGAAATTTCGAGATTTCATACCTGAGGGAAGATGGCGTTATGTGTGGCGGGAAAAAGCTGGCCGGTCACGTGACATTCCGGAATGACGAGGAAGTTGCTGTGGAAAGTTAGTTGTGATGGCCGTGACGATGGCTTTGTCGATAGAGATGACGATAACACAAACACACACACTCACGCACGTACAAACACACACACGCACATACACACAAACAGGGTTGGACATAAACTTCAAAGGAATAGCTATAGTTCTATGGAAGAAGGCCCTAGATAAAAAATTATCAAAAAACAAAGAACAGACATTCTCATACGATGAAGAATTTTTTGACAGCGAAGAATATTTGAACCAAAGATTAAATTTATTCAGTAATGGTTGGTTGGTTGGTCGGTCGGTCGGTCGGTCGTTGGGTTGGTTGGTCGGTCGGTCGGTTGGTCGGTTGGTTGGTTGATTAGTCGGTTTATTGATTGTTTATCTGGCTTGTTTTTGATTGATTGAAAAATCAATTTATTTTAAATAATTTCTCGTAGATTCGAGGAAAAGAGCCAATCTTCTTCAAACTCAACTAACTCAACCCCAGATTTCTTCCTCACCACCAACATCATCATCAACAACTACAACAGCGTCCTCATCATTTTCCTCATCTCACATTTTCCCGGCTGGATTGCAATCCTTCCCATTTTCAATCCAACTTCCGGAAAACCTCCCACACACCATTTCCGGTAAATACGGATTCGTTAAATACAGGTCGCAGGCCGTTCTAATAATATCCCGACCTGGAAAACCCACAGCTACTAAAAATAGAACTGGCGGGAATAGCCAATCTTCCAAAAATAGGCATAACGATGATGGTAATGATGCCGACGATTTGGTGGTGATGAAACACTGGAAGGAGTTTATTATTAAGAATGAAGTGATGTTCAGCGAGAAAGCCCTGGTGAGTAATCGATGATGAATTGTTATTATTATTCTTGTTATTGCCATTATTATTATTATTATTATTATTACTATTATTATTATTATTATTATTAATTATTTTTGCTAAAATATTATGCGTCAGGTCTTTGTTAACTGGTAAAGTTTAAAAATATCAGACTCGATCATGCGTTACAAGGAAAATAATAACAATAATAATTAATAATAATAATAACTATTATTATTATTATTATTATTATTGCTATTGAATTCTTCGACGGGGGATAACGCCCATGTTGAAAGATTTCGCATTCTCAATTGAGTCATTTATTTTCACTCGTGTTAAATCCTCATTGAATGAAAGTTTTTAATCCATTTTGGTTTACCGCCTGTCTCTCTTTCTCTCTCTCTCTTTTGTTTTTCTTTTTTCTTTTATTCTATATATTTTTCTATCTCTTCTTCTTCCTCTCTAATTATATGCACAATGTATATGTTTCGTTTGTTTGTAAAAATTTCATATCTATGATTCTCCCTCTCTCTTTCTCTCTCTCTCTCTGTGTGTATCTTGTCATCATCATCATCACCCCTTCCCCACACTACTACTACCATCACCAAAAACGCAGCTTCCGATTGAAAAGATCACGAATAGGCAAAACCAAATATTTGGCCTGCTGACACTCAGTGACGTCAGAGGAAAGTGGAAAGTAAAAAAGACTGGGTTTTTCCCGGGCGAGTCCATAGAAGTTCACGCCGACATTTTCAACGGGGGTAGGGTCAAGGTCGTCGAAAACAAGGTCACGCTCGTTCAGGTGATGATGATGATGACGACGACATAATGCATAATTATAATAATTATAATAATAATAACGATAATAATTACAGCACATCCTCTATAAAAGTCATCGCTGCCCAGATAATCAAATTTCCGAACGTAAGAAACTCTCCACTAAATGCAAGAGCACTATTTTAACCGACGCCTGGGGCTTCTGGCGAGATCAAATTCCGATCCCTTCTAACGCCACACCAACGACCAATAAAATTGCAGAATTGATCGAGGTCCGCTATAGCTTAAAGGTGATTGGCTGTTGATCGTGTCACTATTTTTAAACTTTTTTTCAGATTTTAACTATTAAGTTTAGTAATAATGGAGGTAGTAATAATAATAATAATAGCAGTAGTAGTAACATGATCTTATATTTTAATATTTTTCAACAGCTGTCAATCAAATTAGCTCCGCCCCTCAAACCAATCAGAAGCGAGATTGACATAATAATTGGGAACTTGGAATACCCAGATGAAGCTATAAATATCATTCAAAACATAAACAAAGAAACCAACAACAACAACCACAATAATAAAAATAACAAGAATAAGGAAAATAACAACATTAATAATAATAAAATTTGTTATAATAATAATAACATTTCGAAAATATACTATAATAATAAGATTTTAAGCGATCTGAATTTATATTTAGATGATGATAAATCATTCTTCTGATCATAACGATAACAAAAATAATAATGATAATAAATAATAATAATAATGATAATAATAATAAAGAATCATAATTTTTAATCATTTTCGTTCAGTTGTTTTTCTTGAGTGTTTTTCTCATCTATATGAGTCCAATAAATAAACAACAATAATAATAACAATAACATTAATTAATAATAAGAATAATAAGATAATTATTTTACTTATAATTTTATGAAATAATATATATATATATATATATATATATATATATATATATATATATATATATAAACACTAAAACGCTTGCCTCTGTGTTATATAACTATGCCTATAATTAACGATTCAACAGCCGTTAGTGACTAATATTTATGAATAATAAAAATAATAATAAAATAATAATAAATAATAATAATAAAATAATAATAATAATCTTCTTCTTTCTCGTGCCTTATCCTATCAGGAAATTGGCAACCATCGACCTCCACAAAACCCGATCTTTAACACTTTGTAGGAGTTGAAATGCGATGATATTCAACAAGTGACACAAGGACTTCACGGTTGTTGTTCGTTGTTGTCTACCGCGATCTCTTTCCCCTGCAATCTTTCCAGTAGTTGTTAGATTTTCCATTCTTTTCTTCCGCATGATGTGACTAAAAAACTTCAACAGCCCTACGTCGGATTATCCGTAGTAATGTCCTCGTTTCATGACCGGACTGTAGGAGCTGCATCATCAGCATATCTTACATTGGTTATATTCACGCCTCCAATGGATTGGATATTCCATGTAGATCTTCTATCTTTCTCATGATGATCTATCTCACTGTAGAGATTGTAGAGTTCTGGAGAGAATACACTACACAGCCTCGCCTAATATCTTTCTTTATTTCGCCTTTCTTGTTAGCAACTTTCATCGCTGCTCTTTATTCCCAATAGAGTTCTTTAATAATAATAATTCATTATAATAATAATTCATAATAACAATTCATAATAATAATAATTCATAATAATAATAAGGATTAATAATAAATTATAGTGATAACAATTTTAAAATACTATTAAACGATCGAATGAATGATACAAAAGACTGGTGAATAAATGAAAAATTTAATAAACTTATAAATCATAAATCACTCATTCATCCATCTATCCATTCATTCATTTATCCATTCATTCATGCATTCATTCATTCAGTTATTCTGCGTAAAACTGTTCACAATTTTGGGTCTTATATTATTAGGAACGATGTTTGCCTTTTACTACTACTACATTCTAACAACCCATTTGGTTGGATATAAAGGTGAAAATTCACTCATTCATTCATTGAATTCATTCACCCATTCAATCGTTAATTCATTCATTTACTCGTTCATTTATAGTTTTATTTAAACGTTCATTCATTAATTCACTCGTTCGTTCATTTACCATTCATTCGTTCGTTCATTCATTCACACATTCATTTACGCATTCATTCATTCATTCACGCATTCATCCATTCATTCATCCAGCCTGCAAGAACATAGATGGCGAAGTTGTGAAGAACGGTCCAGAAACAGTTGGATTCGTGGCCCGCTGGTTGCTGAAATTACTTAGGAGGACGTAACTACAGCTACTTCTGCTACCACTACTACTACTACCACTACTACTACTACTACTACCACCACAAAAAAGATGATGATGATGATGGCAAAGAAGAAATACGGAACCTGACCCGATACAAATGACATATTTCAATTCCTTTTACTACACAAAAAAATTTTTCATTTCAAAATCTACCATAAAATTATAAACTGAATAAAAATAATAATAATCTTTATTATTATTATCATTATTATAATTATTATTATCATTATTATTATCATTATTATGTATTGATATGTATACCACACAAACATAGCGAGTAAAATTTAAGAGGAAGATAAACGAAACAAAGCAATAATATCTATGGTACAAATCTGAAACCATTAACAATAAGAATAATAAAAAACAACAACAATAATAACAATACTAACCATTACAAACAAATAAATACACACACATACACACACACACACATACATATATATATATATATATATGTGTGTGTGTGTGTGTTAGTGTATTAGATATTATGATCTAAGAAGCGAGTATAAACGAATGAATAAATTATATGTATGTAAAAAAGATTAGTTAGTAGGAAGATGAGTTCAAACATTTGATTGATTGATTGATTAATTGATTGATTGATTAACCACTCACTCACTCACTCACTCACTCACTCACTCACTCACTCACTCACTCACTCACTCACTCACTCACTCACTCACTCACTCACTCACTCACTCACTCACTCAATCAATCCATCAATCAATCCTTCAATCAATCCTTCAATCAATCCTCCAATCAATCCTTCAGTCAATCAATAGATTAGTAATACTAGCATGTAATACTGTAGAAAACTTTCTTTGAAAAATGAGAAGTAAAAAAAAGCTGAGATCACAATGTACACGCGTACGTGAAATACTAAAATACTGCAATGAAAATAATTTACAATTTCATAATTTGGCCTAAAATATCAATCACACAGCTATTCATTCATTCATTCATTCATTCATTCATTCATTCATTCATTCAATCATTCATTCAATCATTCATTCAATCATTCTTCATTCATTCATTCAATCAATCATTCATTCATTCACTCATTCAATCAATCCATCATTCCTCATTCATTTATTCATTCATTCAGTCAATCAAACAATCGACGAATCAGCCCGTCGAACGATCCAACTGGACATCATAAAAACATAACCACGTCATCATCATCACCACCACCACGTTATCATCATCATAGCCACTACCACATCATCATCATCATCATCGTCATCATCATCGCTAAAAATTAGATCGACTACTACTGCCACTCCCATATTTGTTAGCTTTCTCTAGCTTTTTTTGCAGTCGAGTGTTCTCCATCTCCAGGTCATTCTTAGCTAGCTCCAGCTCTCTCAGCTTCTGCTGGCACTTTCGCTTTTCTATTTTTAGCTCCTCTTCCGTCTTCTCGGCGTTCTCGACTTGATTTTTGTAGCGCTTCACTTGGCTTTCCAATCGAATTATCTGAAAGTCGGGTGGTGGTCATTAATCGGTTGGTTGGTTGGATGTATAGATAGATAGCAAGTCATTATAGATTATTGTTGCAACAATAATAATACAAATAACAATAATAATAATAATAAATAATAATGAATAAAAATACAAATAATAATAAACAATAATAATAATAATAATAACTTTTCCCTCCAAAGTCGACATGTCTTGAGTGTTGATTTTCAGTTGCAACTTGGCGTCATTCAACTGTCTCGTCAGGTCTTCATTAGAATGAATAAATGAATGAATAAATGATTGAATTGATGAATGAATGTCTGAATGAATGGACGAAAAAATAAATGAATTAATATCTAAATGAATGAATGTCTGAATGAATGAATGAACTAGAAAGAAAGAGCAAAATGATTAAAAAAAGAACCTTGTACTAGGCTACTACTATCAATAGATCTACCATCACTTCCGCCATTTTCCATCATGGCGGACGAAGCATTATTATTATTATTATTATTTGCAGCTGATGACGATGAGAACCGACCGGGGGTGGGGCTGCGGTGGTGATTTCGATTGTCGATACCACCGAATCTCGATGATGACGACGACGGCGATGATGTGGCTGTTGCAGTCGCTACTGCTGCTGCTGCTGATTTCAAGTTCTCCACTTCTCTTCTCAGTTTTTTTATCTGCAAACAACAACAACAATAATAACAACAATAATAACAATAATAATAACAATTATAATAATAATATTAATAATAATTAATTAAAATGATAATTAATAATTATCATTAGTTACCATAGCTTCCATGGACTTTTTCTCCTCATCCAACTTCAGTAACCTCTCATCTAAGGAAGATCATTATCAGTATCATCGTAATCATCATCGTCATCATCATCGTTATCGCAATCATAACCACCATAATCCTCATCATCATCATAGCCATCATCATCATTATCACAATCATAACCACCATAATCATCATCGTCATCGTCATCACCCCACGCATTCATAACCACCACAATCCTCATCATCATCATCATCGTCGTCGTCGTCCTCACAATCATCACTATCAAAACCTAGAGTCCCGGAGTGAGTATCGAGTAGGTCGAGGGCCTTCTGTGAAACCAATGCAAACTTCTGAACCTTCTTCTTCTTCTTCCCATGATTACTGGCATCACCTTCATTATCATCATTACTACTACCGTCGTCGTCATCGTCGCTACTACCACTGCTGCTGCAACTGCTGCTGCTGCTGTCATCATCGACGCTGTTGTCTACCTCGTCAGATACGAATATGAAGCCATGCTCCTGAGAAGGATGATGATGACGACGACGATGATGATGACGAAGATGATGATGATAATGAAAACGACGATGATAATAGCCTAAATAACTAAGCTAACACAGTGATGTTATCAGCATCATCGTCGTCGTCGTCATCACCACCATCATGATCATCATCATCGTCGTCTTCATCATCATCATCATTACCCTCACCTTTATTAGTATATCTCTCTGCTCTAAAAGTTTTTTTAACTTTGACGCCTCTGCTTCCAATGTTTCACAATCCTTTTTCTTGTGCTCAAAATCCTGATAATGATCGCATACCACCATCATCATCATCACCCCCACCATCATCGTCATCATCACCACCAGCATCATCATCATCATAACTTGCCCTGGTTTTCTCTTTCAGTTGCCTCTTTACTTCAATCAAACCTTCCTTCATCTCTTCAGTGTCATCCATTAATAACTCAACTCTGTGCGTGTGTGCGTGTGTATGTGCGTGTGTGCGTGCGAGTGTGTGTGTGTGCGTGTGTGTGTACCTGTACTGAAGTGTCTGTTTCTCATTATCCAACTGGGCATTGTGGGACATTGTTTTGACAAACTTTTCTTGTATGTCAGCCAGCTCTTTCTAGATGAATGAATGAATGAATGAGTGAATGAATGAATGAATGAGTGAGTGAATAAATGAGTGAATGAGTAAATGAATGAATCAATCAGCCAGCCAGCCAATCCCACCAATCAACAAACCTTCAAATCTTCAGTACCCTCCCCACTTCCATGACGACTCGAGTTGTATCTTTGACCTGAAAACTGTAAAAACAATAATTAATATTATAATTATCCATAATTATTGAGTCATATTATATTATAATTATCATCATCATCATCATCATCATCATCATCATCATCATCATTGTTACCATCATCATATATATAAATACATACATAGCTATAATCTTTTTTCGATTCTTGGTGACTTTTATTTCTTTCTTTTTCCTGTTCCTATTATAAAAAAAATAAATAAACAAAAGATAATCATCACCATCATTATCACAATGAACAACATTTTAATTTAATTTTATCATCATATATTCATCACTATCATCCCCATATCATCATTATCATCTTCAGTACAAAGTTTTAAGCATGCTATGTAATGAATCAATCAATTAACCAACCAACCAACCAACAACCAACCAACCAATCAATCATACATACATACATGTACTATGTAATGATTGTAATGTATGAATAGAGATGTACCTCAATTTGTTGTCTCTCCATCTCCCTAACCCTGATTGCTCTGGCCTCTGCCCTGGCCGCTCTCTTAGCAGCTAATCTATCTTCTGCCTTTTGACAAATAAATAAATAGATAAAATAATGAAATAAAAAGTAACATAAAAATTGTAGAAAAAGTTTTTTTTATAAATGAAATGAAAGTGACAGTATTATACTTCTCAAACTAATTACTAAACTTTAGTAAACATAAAAAAAAACTGCGTGTTGTTCAAGTCTTCCTAATTATAAATAATGACGATTAGTAATTCGGCGCTTTGTATAACTTTACCACTAACCTCTTTGGCAACTTGACTGAGAGCCTGATCTTCTGCAGCTGAGTTCTGCCGAAAGTTAGTGCGTCTTCGATTGCTCGAAGAAGACATTTTTGTGGTTATCTTAGATAGATTTTATGATAATTTAATTAAATTATAATTAAATTTGTTGAAAATTGAAATATTTAAAAATATTTCAAAGTTTTTAAACTGATCAAAGACACTTGATAAGAAAGTTTTCTTTTAGTTACCGTTTCTTATTGGAAAATTTTGACTGCGGCCAAATTTGGCCTTTTAGTTTCTTAAATTCAAACTCAACTACTGGTTTAAACATATTTATTGTATATATATATATATATATATATATATATATATATATATATATATATATATATATATATTTGTTTTTTGAATAAGTCCACTCCTTGTTGATTTATTATTAGAGGTTAAAGTGTACATTATAAGTATACATTACTTCTGCATGTTATAATGGATACTGCTTCAATAAAAACACGTGCGAAAGTTAAGAAAGGCTTATTACGGTCGCTGAGAAATATGCCATGTTTGTATATTGTATATGTACATGTACAAGCTCATTTGAGCTTCAGTGTCTTCATGCTTTTTTTTGCTGAATAAATTGAATTGAATTGAATATATATATATAGTACAAATTTGCTAATGTTGGAAATAGTTTATTTAAATAAAAATTCATTAACACAAAATATCTCTAATAAAATATAAATACGTTTCAAATATACATAAAAAAACATTTAAAAAGATAGATGAATATAAATTACACACACACACATATACTTTAGTACAACTTCGAAGATTACAATGAAATAATTTTAAATACGTTGGTCTGTGTATGTCCAGATGTAAACATGATGTGCTAGATAAATTTTAATTACAAAAACAGACATATGTGAATGAATGAGGTACGTGAATGAATGAGAGCATGAATGAATGAGTGCACGAATGAATGAGTGCACGATTGAATGAGTGCACGATTGAATGAGTGCACGATTGAATGAGTGCACGATTGAATGAGTGCATGAGTGAATGAGCGAATGACTGAATGAGTGACTGAATTGAAACTGTTACAATAATAATGACAGATGTCTATGATGAAGAAGATAATGATTAAAAATGAGTAGAAAAACTATCCAAATCATCGTAAAAGTAACATACAATAAAGATATATATCTACATCTTTTACATTGTTAGCGTCATTTTTTCATAAATCCTCACTAGAATGTGCTTTTGTTGTTGTGGTTAGTATAGAAGATGTAGTTTGGTCAGTTTTAGTACTATTATTAATCTCACCATCATCATTATTATTATTATTATTTTTGTTATTAATTTTATTCTTGGCTGAATTTGATTCTACTGTGTTTGCTATTGTTGGATCAATGGATTTCATTTTATTTGTTTTTTCCGAGGTGTCTTTACTCTTTTCTGTAAATTTTAAAAATTATGTATTATGATGATTCATTTAGTTTAGTAGTTGTCTAATAATAATAATAATAATAATAATAATAATAATAATAATAATAATAATAATAATAATTAATAATTCATTTTTCTGAAAAAATGAAAAAAAATAAAGAACAATCAAATTAAAAAATGGGTTTACTTTTATTTTTATTTATTCTTTGCTGTTTCTCATTATCACCCTGATCACCTTTTGGCCTGAAGACCTCATCTAGGCATTCTTCATTTTGTGTGGTCGTTTGGAAATTTAATAAGAAAAATAAAAAAAATCAAATTAAAATTGTAAAAAATTGAATAAAATCATCAAATACATTAACAAACAAACAGATAGGCAAGCAGACAAACAGACAGACCGGCAGACAAACAGACAGACAGACAGACACATACTTTGATCCTTGTCTTTTAGGTAATGATCAGAGCATAGGTATTTAAGAAGGTTCTTATCGACCTGATAATTATAGTACCATTCTTCTATTCTCTCCTCGTACTCCTCTGCAAATGTGAAACACTAAAAAAAAAATAAAAGTTTTACAAAATATTTTTATATAGATACTAAAATTACTGTGAAAAAATAAAAGAAAAAGAGAAGGAAAGATACAGCTAGAAATAGAGAAAAAAAAAGAAAGAGAGGGAGAAAGAGAGAGAGAGAGAGAGAGAAAAGTTAAAAAAAAAACTAACAGCTCTGTGCATTTTGGAGACCTCAGCTGATGGCTTATCCCACAATTCATATGGAATTCCCAGCTCCACCTTGACACCTTTGTTGCTAAGTAATCAATTTAGACAAAATACTAAAAAAATCACACCGTAGAAAAAAAATACTGAAAAGTGAAAATACTACCAACACTAAGCCATGCAACGTCTGCATTGTTTCGCTCATTCCCTTCGCATATCTCAGACTTCCTTCTCTCTCGGCATGTACGTTGTACTCCAGGATCTTCTCACATATGTGGGGCTCGTGTAAGGCTTCTGTCAATCTTAACTCTCTGTTGAGTTAGGCAGAGTTGAAAAGTAAATGTTATTTATTTAAATATATATTCCTTGTTTTCCTTCCTTATTTATTTAAATTATAGTTTGTTTGGTTAGTTAGGATGTTAAAAATTGAGGTCATGAAAAATTTAGTTTAATTTAGATTAAGCTGGCAATTCTAGAAAAAACTATTGAAGGTTATAAAACATTTAATAAGTAAAAACTTACGAAGTCAAATATTTGAATTTCTTCTTCCTGTCTAAGCCATGTCCTGTTTCAATGATCTCCTTTGATCTTGCCGATTCATCTAGACGACTTTTCAATTCGGTGGCAAAAAACTTGCAAACTTAAAATTAAAAATATGTATAAGTTTAAAAGCTATAAAATTTTTGACTTGTATATTTATTTAGTATTTTTTAGTTTAGTAGTATTTATTAGTAATAGACCTGATGTAAGTGTTAGTATAACAAAGTATGGTCTTTAAACATAATTAAACCAATAAAATTAAACGTGGAAAAAATTTAAAATTAAAACTCGAAAAAAAAAATTAAAAAATAAAGAAAAAGAATGATAAACTAAAAAAAGCCAACTTTCACATGGAGACGGCTCCCGTTTTTTAGGATCTGTGGTTGTATACGGGTTCTCATCTGTGTTATCGTCTGCTCCTGACCTGTTTTTGAAAATTAACAAAAACATCACGAATAAAAATGAAATTAATACTGATTTAGCCATGTTTAATTTGGTTTCTTAAAGTAAACACTGAATGAATTTATGATAATAAAAATAAGTCCACTTTTAAATGTCTTCAATTTTGATTAAAAATAATGCATGACCATGGAAATGCAAGTTAGAATTGCCGTATATTTCATAGACAAAAGTTCAAAAATTGAATTGATAAATTTATGTTACAGTCACAATTTAATGAAAAAGACAGTTCGTTTAACCGTTTGTGTATGCGTATGCGCCGTAATGGTCTAATGGTCAAGCTCGCCTGGTAATGAAGTGTAGCATCCAGGTTCGAATGCGACGAATTGATTCCCGCCTGTATTCATATATGCAGTTTGTGTGGTTCATTCCTCTGAACTATGGATGAGTGTATATGACCTTTAACCTTTTAATTAAACTATACTTTTAATAAAAATAAATCTCTGACATGTAACAGAAGACAAATAAAAATGATCAATGATAATAAAAACAATAACAATATAATTATTATCATCGTCATCATCATCATCATTATTATTATTATCAAACAATACTGGACAGATTCCAGATTTAATATAATATTGATTGAATAATAATTAGGAAATTTGTTTCCAATGGGTTGATTTAGAATGGCAAAAAAAATGGTACATGAAAATGTCTATTTATTAATTAATTAATTCCTCGGCGCGTATTTATGACTGATATAACAATAACATCAACAACAACAACAACAACAACAACAACATCAACAACAGCAGCAACAACATCAACAACAACAACAATAAAAAAATGTAGAGAAATGAATGATTGATAATGAAGGCCACGGAATGACGTGCCGTTAATTATGAATGAGCTTTAGCCAGTAATCACGTTAACAATAACAATAAAAATAATAATAATAACAATAATAATCATAATAAAACAATAATAATAATTACAATAATAACAATAACAATAATAATTTTAGGTACAAAGGATGAAAAGCAATGCTATAGCAACATCTAAATAATGCACGATTATGTAAGAGTCCGGTGCTAGGAGTCAAATAATTTTTGATTGGATCCGCAAAAAGACCACTTCCATAGTTTAAAAAGTTAATTTAATTGCCATTAATGATTAACAAATGGCAATAATGAGTTTGTATAAAGGTTATTGTCAGTATATAATTGATAGTTTCAATTTAATGAGTTCAATTTAATGAGTTTGACTTCTAAAATTTAAGTTTAGGACAGATTTCTAGAATGGATGCTTTTAACTTTGGCGTGAGACGGAGCAGTTACAATAGTAAGTATTATAACAAGTATAAAAACATCAACAACAACAACAACAGCAACAACAACAGCAACAACAACAGCAACAACAACAACAACGATAATAATCCTGACTTAACAATTCGTTCTTCAAATCCAAATTTTTTATTTGAGTTCAATGGCTTTTCAAAATCAAAAAACAACAACAAAAGCATCAACAACATCAACAACAAAAGCAACAACAACATCAACAACAACACCAACATCCACAACATCATCAACAACAACAACAACATCAATAACAACAACAACCTACACGAAAGACTGCCAATAAGCATTGACACATCGAAAGCTCGCTCAAATTATGAAGTGGTCAAAATGTGTGTAGATGCTCTGGGCTGGCTTGAGGTTAGTTCAAAGGTCATCATCACTGTCATCATTATCATTATCATCATCATCTGGATCATCCTCATCATCATCCCCATCTTGGTCATCATCATGATTAGTTTCATGGTCATTATCATTTTGATCATCATCATCTCCATCTTCAAAGGTCATCATCATTGTCATCATCACCACCATTATCACCATCTTGATCATAATCATCCCCATCTTGATCATAATTATCCCCACCTTGATCATAATCATCCCCATCTTGATCATAATCCTCCCCACCTTGATCATAATCATCCCCATCTTGGTCATCATCATCATCATCATGATTAGTTTCCGTACGGTCGTAACGATGGTGAACCGTGTGACGTGTATTGGAACGCCGTGCACTTCCATGAAGGGTCAGTCCTCGATCACTATCAACACCACCACCAGCTGCAGCTGCAGCCACAAAACCAGCAGCCACAGAAGCAGCATCAACGTCGTTTTCTTCCTCCTCTTCATCATGATCATCATTACAATCTAAATAGTAATGGTGTTCAAGAACGACAACATCAACAACAGCAACAACAACAACAACATATTAGAGTTAATAAATTTCCAGGTATTAAATATTATCATCATTGTTATTGTTATACATTAACAACAACACAAACTACATCAATTACAACAACAACAACAACAAAAACAACGACAACAACAAAACAACGACAACTTTTCAGGAATGGTAGACATTGTGAAGAAAGTTAGCTTGGGAAGGTCGCTTGAAAATATG